AAGGACAAGTACAGAAATTTAAATATGGGAGTGTTTTAGCATCCACTCGGACAGTTACAAAGCATGCTCTAGTAGTCCCATTTCTCATTTCTCTTCATACCTGTCACTGGACACATTAGACTGTGAACATGTGCTATATGGTGAGTGTCCTGAGCTCAGAGTTCTCTACACACAATGCCAGCATACTGCTTGCACAGAGTCGGCACTTAATTGACTGAATGGAGGAATAGAGACTTTGGCAAGATAGGTTGCAACTGCACCTCAGTAAAAGATTATTTCTGGACGCCTTAGAAGAAAACTGCCTGCACTTCTCAAAGACTTAAGCGATTAAATATTTCTCATAATCTTATTTAGAGATTTAGATTTTACCTAACTTTTAGTGAAACAATATGTGCTTTTATGCATATATATATTTTTTCTCACTCAGTGATTTACAAGTCACACCAGCCCACACAAGGTCCCACACAGTTGTCCCTGCCTCACATAGTCCAGTGTAGTCAGAATTCCCACCCAGACTATCTCTAAGTTCAGAGCTGTTCCTGCCACACCAGATTTGACCTATATACCATATTGTTAATTATATGCTTATTCAGAAAACAGCAACATATCTGGATGACATGTAAGTGACCACTTATGTCATTACCACAATAAATGACATGTAAGTACACCTTACAATGTGCTGACCACTGTTGGTGAGTGAATTCTGTGTATTAGCTGATCCCCTCCCAACAACCAAGTGTGATGGAGGTGAAATCAAAACTGAGACAGATCTAACTTCAGAGTTAGTTTCCTTGCTGATGCTTCTCTCTACTGCGCATGGTCTTTACATTTTTCCTCCACAGGTCAGTTACAGTTGGTTAAAACAGGAGTTCATTATATAAAAAATATACTAATAGGGAAGAGAGGTCAGAAGCCATTCATTTGTATCCCAACTGGTTCTTGGTGCAGTGCCATCCCAGTTAACTGCTAGCAAAAGACATTCATTTTCATTTATCCTCAATCTTCTGTGGAAAAAGGGGATTAGAGTAAAAGGTCACGGGACCAGTAAATGGCGTAATGGTTATGTCGCTGGACTCCCACAGTCGATTGTAGTTTGCGTCCTGGACCCAGCAGCTTAAAATTCATGCCAGGCATGTGTGCCTGTGTACCCAGGATTCAGAGATCTCTCTCAAATAAAACTACCCCACCCCACCCCACCCCACCCCCCCAAAAAAAGATAAAAGGTCATTTTGACGCAGGAGCTAAGAGTTTAGATGTTATTTACTCTTCTGACAGATAATCAGCAATACTCTGGACTATATTTACATTGTGCCAGTATAACCTATTGAAGATTCTTTCATGGTAAAGGAGTTTAAGGTATTAAAGTGTTTTCCTCTCTATTTTGATTGTTTATCAGTTTGAGTGTCATTTTACTGATTTAATTTGGCATGGTTTGTGGTTTTTGTTTTTTATTTTTTTTGAGAGGTTTTCGCTATAGGGCGCGTGTGCTCGCCAGACAGACAGATAGAGACAGAGAGACAGAAAGCGAGAAATCACCCCCCAGGGGGGATGATCACGCCACAATCCCTTCTCCTCCGTTCTCCTCTCGGGATCTTGGGCACGCACGCACAAGCGCCCGGCGTGAGTTTTAAGCCACCAGGTCCGGGACGTGAACCGTGGTCAACTACGTGGGAGTCCAGCGACATAGCCATTACGCTAACTGCTGGTTCCCGGCATGGTTTGTGTTTGTACACACAGCGCCCTGGTTATGATGACATTAGTCGCCAATGAAATGTTCATAACTTAGTAAGACAAGTCATAAAATGGCTTACCTCTCTCTAGTCCCAAGATTTGATTTTTTAGGGTTTCTTTGTGCTGTTCCACTTCTGCCTTTTGATCTTCCAGCTGGCGCAACTTCTTATGTATTTGTTCTCTGATTTTGTTGAGCTTCCCGATGTCAAGGCGCATCTGATGAACTTCTTCCTCTTTGGCCTGTAATTAGTGGGAGAGGATTAACCAGGATGCTGAAGAAATACAGGACCAATGTCTGAATGATGGTAAACTCAGAACCAATTAAATGAAATTCTTCCTATGTCAGTATAAACTTGTTTAATGGGTTAAATCAAAACATACTTGGTTTTGAGAGAAACCGAAAAACTCTATTCTCAAAAAAAAAAAAAAATGTAGCTATGTAAGCTAAAAATAATGAAAAGACAGGTAAAATCTAAGGTTTCAAGGTACCATTTAATTATAATTATAGAATTAAACAAGATAAAAATTCAAGGTAATATGTATGGCAAATATATGAACCACTGTTGGCATAATGGTTAAGGTGCTAGACTCCCACGTGGCCAACCACACTTCCAGTCCTAGACCTGGCAACTTCAGAATCTTGCCGGGTACACGTGTGTGTGCCCATAGTCCCAGGAGGAAAATGAAGGAGAGGGGATTACAACATGGCCTTCCCCCCCAGGGGATGATTTCTCACTTTCACTCTCACTGTCTCTCTCTGTCTCTCTCTCTGGCGAGTGCACACGCCCTGTAGCAAAAAGAAAAAAAAAAAGTTAAAATAAAAGTGAATTTTGTGTACAAATACTATAATTCATTAGCAATTTTTATGGTTTCACAAAAATGACCTCTCTCAGAAGGTTACTAATACACTCTAAAATATTCAAACATTCTTTTGGACCTGAAAAGCTACTGTAGCTCACTACATACACTAGAAAAGGGATCCTTCCTCTTTCTCACAGTGGTTCAGTCTGTGAGGACAGACAAAGAGGACAGGGCAGTATGAATATGTAAGTCTACATGATGGAGAAGGGGACCAAAAATATAATAATTCTAGCAAGAGAAAGCACCAGATTTTTGTCTATTAATTTCCAGTTTTACGGATTTCTAAAACTTACATTAAATTCGCTTTTTAAAAATGTTGCCATTAAAAATAACTGAAAAAGCAGCTTGAGGATATTTCTGCAAAAAATGTTGGGGATTATCTCAGTTCTTGACAATGAAAAGACTGAAATTGACTGCATGTTATCCTTGGACTACTGCTGGTAGATAAATCCCATTAGGTTCGGGATTCAATAACAGAAAGAGTCCCTCTTTCAAGATGCACCATTTATGTTATCAAAGGAAAGAATTAATGGCATAAATATTTTTTACTTTAATTTCACCTTAGGGGCTAATATATTATTTTGACTCAAGGAGTCATTTTATTTTTACTTCAGCTTATGGCATTCTCATGAAGAATGGTTTCCAATCAACCTATTGTAAACTGGAATGGTCCTCAGCCTCAGACCCTACAGGGTTCAAATAAGTCAGCTTGAGGTCCCTTCAATTCTAAGATGTTCTAAATTCAATAATTATTAATCCAGACTCCATGGTTAGACTTCAGAGAAGTCCTGGAAAATTCTCATATTTCTGGGATGCACACAAAGCAAGATGCATGTATGTGAGTACGTGTGTGTGGGTGCGTGCATGCACACTTACGTGCATGCTTTCATCAGATTATCAAAAGAGACTATGATACAAACAATGTTCTGGTTCACTGCTCAAATCCATGTATTATTCTTGGTAGGCAATTCCTGGTATTCCTACATAGCCAAAATAGGGAATATGGATTTTTTTTTTCAAGAATTAATGTAGTAAACCACAAATGTGCTCTGTTAATCACTTACATACAATACCAAGTATCAAACTGCTATACAAACTTAGCTTGCAAGCATTCTTCAATGAGGGCAGGGGGAATAAGAAACGTGTCTTGAAATACACACTAATTAATACTGGGTTGCCGGAAAAGTCATGACATATTTTCTATGTTTTTCTAGGCAAAAATGCCTCATGACTTTTCCAGTGACCCAGTAGTAAACATCATGAGTCTCTAATCCTGGATATGAATACTCAATACTATCAGTCTAACCTGCAGCCCTCCCACCCCACCTTTGCTACTGATGCATGTGAATGATTTCTAACTCTGGGCAACTGGTTCCTTGCAAGACTAATTACAGAGATGAACATCTGAGCTTGCTTTGGAAAGCATTTGCATAACCATATGATTGATCATCAGGTTTGCAGTCTTACAAGTAGGAATGGCCGTTATCAAACTGTCTGCTGCCGGGTGTAAGGCAGTCACTGCGGGCTTGCACCTGCCTCAGATGTTTCAAGGCCCTACGTAGAGCAGACACAGGTTATCCAACCGAGGGCTCAATGGCAACCACGGGCCTGTGTTAATGGGAAGGAGGAAGGAGATGCAAGGGAACAGACATGTCACTTGGTGTTTACTTTGAGCTCCAGTGCCTTCTGCTGGTTTTCCTGGGATAGCTGCTCGCAAACCAAACTGTGCTGTTCATTCTCTTGCTGAAGTTTGGAATTTCTCATTTGAAACTGCTCAAGTTCCTTTGCAGCTCTCTCATTCAAAATCTGAAAGGTGTGGAACAAGCTGGTTAATGCTTTTTAATCTGATTACAGTATCTGCATATACACACAGGAGGCCCCACAAACCTCCTGGGAAGATAACAGCAACCACACTATTTTGTCTTTATAGAAATTGTTCTTTATCCCCGATGAAAGCACTAACGCACTCAAATATGATGAATGTTAAATGGCTGAGGAAAATGACGCCTTCTAATGAATAACACAGTGAGCATAATATTTTTCTGAGAGCCTTGGGAAGTCTTGTTCACAGGTGGTGGATAAATATTTTAATGCCTGTTTGCCATTTGGCAGGCTTCATATACGCAACAATTGCTATAATCATTGCAAATGAGTTAGAGATTCAAACGGGTTTTATCAGCTGTGGGGCTCAGAAGCTACATCTTCAGAAGCAAATCCTGCATTAACATGCCTACAACATTTTCGTGAACAGAACCGTTCACTAACACCAACACAGAGACAATTCCCTTTTAATCCAACTTAAGTCGAAACCGTGGAACGGCAGTGAAGTGATTTATATCTGCCCGATTTCAATGTCAGACGGATTTTCCTCTTTCCTATCTTGACTATCGTGTGCAGACACAGTTTTATAGAAACAAAGAATTATATCTTGGGGGGTCATTTCTATTGAAGGGATATGCGGGAAATGGAGGGACAGCAAGTGAGCTGAAGCAAAAGAGAGAAAGAAATGGCTTAGGCATTGTCTTCAAAACAACTTCAGTTTACGCAACAATTAAACAAGGTAAGAATCCTTTCAATTCCCCATCAATGAGGACTAAATAAAATGTAACTGGCTATGCTAAAAATGAAAGCAGGTTCTACATGAGTCTTGGATATTGTTAAACAAAGTGCCACCGTTTTATCCTAATGTCCCAAAACCTCCCTCTTTAAATTTCATGCTCAAAGAAGTGCCATGTTTTTCTCCTAGAGCCTGTGCATTGTGTATTGTCTATGGGCTTCTAGTTTTACATAACATTAATAAAGCAAATGACCAAGACATCAGTTGTAATATCTTTTTTTTTTTTAAATAGAAGAACACTGTATGACTTGGGAATTACTTGGAAACAAACTTAAGAAAAAATATTTTTAAAATAGATTTTCAGTTCTATTAATTGCCTCTTTAAGAAAAGAGAAAAGGCTCAGCCACAGTGTTGCAGTGGTAGCAGAATGTATTGTAAGGTTGAAAGCCAGAGGGAAGATCAGGGTTCAGTTCCATGCAGGCCCCTGATCCCGGCTGACTGAGAAGGCTGGGGAGAGGATTGTGGCACCTGCTGCAGTGCTTTTCTCTTTCTCTCCCTCACTCTCAATAAATAAATCACCTACCTTTTTAAAAAATGAAACAAGACAAACTAGAATGACTATTTATGTAGCCTAAAGAATTATAATGGGGGATGTTTTAAAAATACTATATTGGAACCAGCAATTAGTGTAATGGCTTACATTGCCGGACTCCCATGTAGTCAACCACAGTTCGAGTTCCGGACCCAGTGGCTTAAACTCACGCTGGGCGTGTGTGCGTACATGCCCAAGATCCCAAGAGGAGAATGGAGGAGAAAGGGTTGCAGCATGGCCAGCCCCCCCTGGGTGGGGGGGGTGATTTCTCGTTTTCTATCTCTCTCTTTCTGTCTTTCTGTCTTTCTGGCAAGCACACATTCCCTATAACAAAAACCTCTAAAAAAATTATATTAAAAATGCATAAAACTGAGTGTGGTTTCCTAAACATGAGACTTAAAAATAAACCTGTTAATAATAAATCACATTGTGGCCAGCAGATGGCATGTTGGTTAAGGTGGCCAACCATGGTTCGAGTCCCAGACCTGGCAGTTTGTTTTCTCACTTTCTCTCTCTCTCTTTCTCTCTCTCTCTCTCTCTCTCTCTCTCCCATGTGCCCTATAGCAAATTTAAAAATTACAATAAATAACTTTTTTTAAAAAAAGATAAATCATGTTATACTCACAAGGAATTCCGTATAGCACTGAGAGTGAATGGTCTACTGAGCTCAGTCCAACAGAACTTCCTGCAATCACGTAACTGTTCTGTATCTACGAGTACAGTATCTATCAGCCATACGTGGCCCTGGTGCACGTGAAAGGAGGTGAGTGCAACCCAGGAGTTGAATTTTTCATTTTATCTCATTTTAATACAGTTTTTAATTTAGTCACTTACGGCTAGTGGCGACCATTTTGGACATCACAGGTCTATATACAATTACAAGGCAGAAATATAAATGAATTTCAGAGCATAACAGAAGTTAGACACCAAAGAGAACATACTATAATAGATCATTTCCGTGAAATATGAAAGCAGATAAAACTAATCTCTGCTTAGAATTCAGGATAGAGGTCTCCTTTTGAGGGGAGAATGACTGGGAGGAGGAATGAGGGAGTTTGGGTGTGCTGGCTATGGGTTGTTTCTTGGGCTGGGTACCGTTGACCACAAAAAGTTCAAGTGATGAAAATGTATCAAACTGCATGCGTGTGACATACATACTTTTCTCTGTGTGTATAATACATCAATAAAGGTTAGAAAAAAATAATACGTGTGACATACATACTTTTCTCTGTGTGTATTATATACATCAATAAAGGTTAGAAAAAATTAATTAGGCTGGGGGCCAGCAGGTGGCAAGGTGGTTAACGGTGCTGGATTCCCACATGGCTGACCGTGGTTTGAGTCCTGGACCTGGCGGCTTGCTTTTCCCGCTTTCCCTTTTTCTCTGGTCAAATTAAAAAATAATAATAATAAATGGAATTTAAAAATAAATAATTCTTTAAAAAAATGTAATTAGGCTGTCCCCATAGTCTAATGGTTAAGGGAGCTGTATCTCACATGGTGAACTGTGATTTGAATTCTGGCTCCTGCAGCTTGAAAAACACACAGGATATGTGTGCACCAAATCCCAATAGGATGGCTAAATGGAGGAGAAAAGATTGTAGCATGGCCATGCCCCCCCGGGGAGTACTTTCTCCTCCTCCCAATCTACCCCACTCTCCCTCTAACACGGACATGTGCCCTCTGGCAAATTTTAAGGAATAACAATAAATGTAAAAGAAAGAAATTACTTAGCCTGTTGGAACTGGAAAAAAAACGAAGGCATAACTGCCTTGTAAGAGCCGTTCAACAATCAAATTGCAGTGCTAAACATTATGTTCAGTGAAGGGAGTTTATGGCTAAGAAAATCCAAAATAAGCAAATGAGGTGAACAAAGGCACCATCTTGGTTTTTTTGTTTGTTTGTTTTGCCAGGTCCAGGTCAAGAGGTAGCCCACACCTACTCACCTTCTGCTCCTTCAGTTGTTGCTCCAGCTTCTGAAGCTCCTCCTTGCTCTTTTGCATGTACTGCTGCAGGGCCCGAATTTCTGTCTGCCTGCTATCCATGTCCACCTGAATCTGCCTGAGTTCTTTCTCCAATTTTTCCTTCTTCCTAGACTCCCGCGAAGCTTCATTCTGTCGTAGCTGGATTTCTTGTTGGAACTACAGCGCACAAAAGGGACAGGGAAGAAAGAGATGACCCCTGGATGTGGCAGGTCTCAACCAGCCCAGTGCCCCCACCTCAGATCTGTCATGTTCAGGGTTGTCACTCTGCAGTAGCCTTACCCCTATTTAAAAAAAAAAAAAAAAGAGTCTAAAGCCCTGAAGTTCACATTTTTCAGAAATGTTCTATATTACTTTTCAGGGCCCTGACACCAAACCTCCCCTGATGGCGGTCAACAAATCCACAAAGATAATATAAAATCAACTAAATATGGAAGCAGAATTCTACGGACGTTACCATGAAGACTATATTCAATTCTCCATCAAAAAGGTCGAAACAAATGAGGCCAGCTACCCTAAATATAAAATCGTGTCTTACCTGATCCTGCGTGTTGCTAAACAAGGCACAATAGTTTTATTCCAATACCCAAATTCTATGACAAGCCTTTTGCTTATCTCCTCTCAAAGACGTGTCATTTTTCTCTAGGAGTTGGTACATTGAGTACCACCTATCTGACTTCTGGCTTTCTATGAAAGCATTCTTAAACTTCCAGCTAGATAACTTTCTTAATTAGGAGAAGGGCCAAAGGAAATACTGTATCCAGCATCCCAGATGCTGGGTCCCCTGGCTTTCTTGAGCCAGAATGTAGTGACTTACATTCTGGGGGTCACTTCCTTAGTAACTTTGCAGAGAGTGTGGAGAAAGAATGACTCATCAGGACCAGCAAATTTTGTAATAGCTATGTCGCTGGACTCCCATGTAGACCAAGGTTTAAGTCTCAGACCCAGTGGCTTAAAAGTCACGCGGGGTGCATGTGCACGCATGCTCAAAATCCAGAGAGGAGAATGGAGAAGGGATTGTGGCATGGCCATCCCCCCCTGGGAGGTGATTTCTCACTTTCTGTCTCTCTGTCTCTCTCTGCCCAGGGAGCACACACACCATATAGCAAAAATCTCTCTCAGAAAAAAGAATGACTCATTGAAAGCTGATCATGTAAGAATAATCCAGAGAAATAGCAAGACCAAGAAAGTTTCACTGGGCCACAGGGGGCTGAACTGAAAAGGGAATAAATGGGAAGAGAGATGGATGCCATCCTCTGGAAGACAGCATCCCTCTCTGTGCTCTGGGTGGGGCGGACCTGACTGATGGCCTGCTCTGCCTCTTCCTTGGAGCGCTCTGTTTCCTGCTGCTGCTCAGTGGTCTGAGCTAAGGACTCTCGTAACTTCACCACTTCTGACAAGAGCTGGTCTCTCTCCTTTGTCACTTCTTCTTTGAACTTCAGTAAATCTCGGATACTAAAACAGAAGAGCACAGGAATCAGGCTAAATGACCATCCGCTCAGGGTCCTTTCTTTTTTTTTTTTTTTTTTTTTTTTTTTTTTTGAGAGATTTTCACTGTAGGGCACGTGCGCTCGCCAGACAGACAGAGAGAGACATAGAGACAGAAAGCGAGAAATCACCCCCCGGGGGGATGGTCACGCCGCAATCCCTTCTCCTCCATTCTCCTCTCGGGATCTTGGACACGCACACACACGCGCCCGGCGTGAGTTTCAAGCCACCGGGTCCGGGACACGAACCGCGGTTGACTACGTGGGAGTCCAGCGACATAGCCATTACGCTAACTGCCGGTTCCCTGCTCAGGGTCCTTTATATCATCCTCCAAGCTTATTTTCATTGGAAAGACTTCAATCAATGATTTACACTGTTTAGGTGTTAAAGATTTTTATGTCCTAGGGCCAGCAGGTGGCACAGAAGTTTAAGGTGGCTAAATCCCATGGTTTGAGTCCCTGACCTGGTGGCTTGAAAAACACACTGGGTGTGTGTGTATGTGAGTGCTCAAAAATCTCAAAAGGATGAAGAAATGGAGGAGAAGGGATTGCAGTATGACCATTCCCCATGGGAGGGATGCTTTCTTATTTTCTCACTTTCTCTCTCTCTTTCTCCCTCTCTGTCATTCTCCTGCAAGTGTTCATGCCCTATAGCAAACTTAAAAAAGAAACTCTTCGTGCCCTGACAGAAGAGCTGATCATGAGGTGTTAACTGAGAAAGAACAAGTCAGATTATCATATGCATAATACAATCTATTTTTAAAGGAAATACAACATCTATTCATGTATGAGTGTGCGTGTGTGTGTGTATGTGTTTTATAGATATTTTAACAGAAACCCAGAAAAACAGATACCAATCACGTAGCTTATTACTTCTGAGAAATTTAAGATGGGAAAGCAATTTAAGACAGGAAAATGATATTTTCCACACCTCTGTATTATTTGAATTTGTTACAAGACTATATTGCTATTGCCAACTCTTGTAATTAACCCTAGAGAGATGCCAATTTAGGAAATTATTTGTTTAACATATCCATTGGAAGACTATGATCACAGCTATAAAGTCTAAAATGAAACATAAACATAAGCAAATAATATGCAATGTCAGCTATCCATCCGTCCACCCAAAGATTAGTTTCTCCCAAAGGGATGCAGCTTAGATAAAATGTTCCCAGGAACAAAATTTGGAAAATCATTCGTGACACCAAATTTTGGAGGGACTGCGATAATATTCATTGATTTGAATGATAAATCAATTACCTCTGCATTTCAAAAGCCATTCCATATGATTTGGCTGACTTCCTGTAGAATTTGCACTTTGGGGTTGGAAGCTCCCTGTCGATGCGACTTCTACCACAGAAGGAGTCTAGAGCGAGGCAGCTCTCAGAGTGAGAAAGCAGAGGAACTCGCGCTGCAGACATGCGAAACTGACAGTCATCGAATGACTGCTCAAAGCCCAGTAATTGACAAAACATATTTACTGACATCTTTGATGTTACATAAATGTTCAAACCCGCACTCAAACTCTTCTTTCCAGGATCAAAACCTCAAAGTCTAAGATGGCTATGAAGAGACGACTACAACTGAGCACATTGTTAAAGCTAAAATTCTGCGTTGAGTAGTTTCTTCAAGTCTCTTCCCCTCTTCGAGTTATTAAAAACTCCGATCACAATCATTCCCTCACATTGCTCTGAACACGCTTGGCTTCTTTGATAAGATAAGAGGCATCACATCTTGTTTGTTTTTCCCATCCCCTCCCCCAACATCAGAATTTAAAACTATCAACATTGAATCAATACTTCAAGAAAGCAGAAGAAACCAAGAGAGCAACATTAGATTTAGTTAAGAAAGCACAAGGAGGGAACCAGCAGTTAGCGTAATGGCTATGTCGCTGGACTCCCACATAGTCGACCGCGGTTCGCGTCCCAACCCGGGGGCTTAAAACTCACGCCAGGCGCTTGTGCATGCATGCCCCAGATCCCGAGAGGAGAATGGAGGAGAAGGGATTGCGGCGTGACCATCCCCCCTGGGGGGTGATTTCTCGCTTTCTGTCTCTATGTCTCTCTCGCTCTGGCGAGCGCACGCGCCCTATAGCGAAAATCTCTCCAAAAAAAAAAAAAAGGGAAAAAAAGAAAGCACAAGGAAGCATATGCTCATTCTTAATTCATTAGGCGATGCAGTATTTTGCACCCTCTGCATAGGCTAGAACCCTGGTGGGGACATAAAGGTATCTTCCTTCAGAGAGTTTGCAGCCTAATAGGTAAAGAAATATACCAACAAATATTTTCAATACGACACGACAGTGCCATACTGGAGGGAGATGTTGGAGCCAATAGAAACAGAGAACGCATCGACTCTTTCTGCCTAGTCATTGGTGTCAAGAGATGGTGAGGAGGTTGGAACAGAGACATGAACAGTGATGAAGTTTAAGACGGTGTTGAGAGGCCAGCAGATGATGTAGTGGTTAAGGCGCTGGACTCCCACATGGCTGTCTGTGGTTCGAGTCCTGGACCCAGCCATGAAGCATGGCCATCCCCCCTGCAGCATGATTTCTCACTTTTTCTCTCTCTGTCTCTCTCCATCTCTGCCTATCTCTTTAGTAAACACACACGCCCTATAGCAAAAAATCTCTCAAAAAAAAAAAAAAAGGGAAAAAGATGGTGTTGAGATGGGCCTTCGAGGACCAATAGGAGTTTTAACATGGGGAGATTGGAAGAAAAGTTATCCTGAGCATAGAAAGCAGCCTGTGCAAAGCCACGGGAGCATGAGCAACATGTGGGGGCTGGACATGAGGCCAGAGAGGCTGACTGCAGATTTATGAGGGTTTCCAAGTGATACACTCGAAAGTGTGGGCCTTATCCTTTGGGTATGAGTAGCTATTGAAAGTGAGAACAGGTGTTTATGTGTTTCCAAAGTGTAAATCTGGAAGCTATAATGGAATAAAGAGGAAGTGGTTGTCCCGCAAGCAGAGACCAGTTAGGGGTGACTACCAAATCCTGCAGGGACTAGGGAGGGGCACGAACCAAGACAATGCACAGTGCTGCAGGAGGAGAGAGAGGGTCAGTGAGGCTGAGCCCAGTGAACCAAGACAAAGCTTCGAGGAGCAAGGAGTGGCCAGGGAAGAGCAAGTCTGTTTTCTGGCCTAGAACCCGGGGCTGGGGGTGAAGAGGGTACTGGTGAGATCAGTCAGGGAGGAGCTGGAACTCGAAGCAGAAAGGCATAGTATCATTCTACACAAGTTGGACAGAAATAAACCTAAAATCTGTACTTACTTTAAAACTCTAACACTGATTCTTATAGAGACAGACATTTAATATAACCATAACTTAGAAGTCCTTGGACATAGGAAAAACAGTATTAAAAAGAAAAAATAGCATAGACAGAAAAGAACCTGTGGGAATCCAACAAAAGAGAGTCTTGAGGGCTAGACAGTGGCATGGAGGTAAAACATGATGCTCTGTGAGGCTGCCCCACTTGGAAAGGTTCCAGGTTTGGGTCCAGAGACCTCCCTGAGTACATCAGATACATGCACACCCATGATCTGATACTGGCCGAAGCTGACGGTGGATCATGCTGGCAAGATCCTGTTGGAAGTGCCCATCTCTCTCTCTCTCTCTCTCTCTCTCTCACTCATGGAAGAAATAAGTACATAAACTTTGAAAAGAAAAAGAAAAAAAGAGAGAGAATCTTGTATCACAGAGAATGATCAAGAAGACAAAGAAAAGCCCCAGTTGACTGCTGAAGAAGGAGGCCTCCGCAGCAGCAAACTCAGCATCCTTCCACCTACTTGCTATCCTGGTCCATGGTCAGTCCAGATCCTTGCTCGACTAGTTTGGTCAGATTTACTATTTCCTCTTTCAGGGCAAGAATCGTCTCCTTTGCCTTCTGCTCCTTATCATAGGCTGTGTCCACCATCTTCCAGGCCTTCTCGATTTCCTACATGGGTCATGGAACATCGGTGAGAAAAACCAAACTAAATTCCAGATGCAAGACAAACTGGCAAATAAAATAACACCATGACTACCATGCAGTAGCAACTTATGGAGAAGGAATAGCATATACTAGACGTTATACATATAATATACGTATGTTTATATTGACTTATTGGATTGTCCAACATGAGCCAGTTAATAGTGAACAGCACATTTAAAGAAAGGGTCTGGGAAAAGGTATTTTTTCCTTGTAGGGGGGTTAAGTGTGGCTACAGGGTTCACATACTACAAAGGCTGCTCTAAGTTAGATTATTTCTAATAAAGAACTTATGATAGGTTTACAGAATGAAAGGTAGAAGTTTCTGTGCCTTCCAAGTCCAGATATTTCAAAAATAATAATTACAAGTTGTATCACAGGAGGAAGGATCATAGATCTACACCCTAAATTAATAGACTAAATTGAATCTCTTGACAGATTTGCAAATAGAGGACATATTTTGTCCTCGGGTCTCAAGTGAGCTTGTGATGGCAGTGTGAGCTTGGCACACACAACACTCACAGTGATGTTGGGCTTCACAGTTAACCCAATTGCGTACAACCACTTGGGGGACTCAGTTCAGAAACCCAAGCCCAAGACTTCTCATCAAATGCTTATGGGAATGATAAGGAAAAAAAAAAAAAAAAAAACTAAAACAGACAATGAAAAACAACTCATGGGGCTTTGGCTTCCTAACTGTTTCAAAGTGCTACATGCAATATTAGCATAAATACTTAAAAGAGAGTTCTAGAAAAGACGTAAAGCACAGTAAGTGCTACAACAGCCTTGAGTTTTATCCTGCCACTTAACTTTCTTGCAGAATTTTGTCAAGTGGAATATGAATCCTTAACAGATAAGAACCTATAAGCTTTAGGTAGAAATATTCCACTTTTATGTTGACAGGGAATAAAATGAGTGGAAGGGAGCATTTGATAAATTCATGGTCACTGTTACATTAGACAAAGCGATTACTCTCAGGCAACCATAGCACATCATTAATAAAATGTCAGTTTGTAGGCTATGTTCTTATATAGCAACGATATGTGCTATTTTTAGAAAAATATATGAAAGATAGTTAAATGAAATAGGATTGCATAAAGTTTTACCCAAGTCAACTTCACCAATTAGATCTGAATCAATTCATGACTTTCATTTCCAGTTTTTAAATTTACCATGAAAAGTGTTTTTCCATCATAAAATAAATTAAATCTTTCTTCTATTGATTTTAGCAAGAAGAAGAAAATGAACTAGAGAGGAAATGACACTAAAAACAGGGTTGTTTTTAAGAAAATAGATAAGCCACATTTTGCACTAGTCTTGGAAGTTAATTTGATTAGGTGACCCCTAATTGCACAATATCGAGGGAATTATCTAAAAAGTTTATAAATTATTTTTCAAACCAGGGTTTTATTTATAAATGGATAAATCTGTGCCTTTTATTACCCTGAGATGAACAAAGAACATTTAAAAGAAAACAAAATACATGGGCCAGCAGGTAGCCTAGTGGTTAAGGCGCTGGACTCCCACATAGCCTTCCACGGTTTGCGTCCCGGACATGGAGGCATGAGGATCACACTGTGTATGCATGCCCAGAATCCGAAGAGGAGAATGGAGAAGAGATCCCGGCATGGCCACCCACCCAAGGGGGAGAGTTCTAACGTTCCTTCTCTCTGTCTCTCTGTCAGTCTCCCCCTAGACTGAATCCTTGTTCTATTATGGGGAACTGAGAGTATGAAGGGGGAAGCAAAGGGGTGCTAGGAACAAAGGTCATGAAAATGACTATCTTGGAATTCTCAAGGTCATCTCTCCTAAAACGGCAAAGCAGAAATATGAAAATATCGTTAACAAGCCATCATCACGAGTTACTCATTTTGCATCAAATGGACATATTGAGATTCTAATACTTTGTTTACTTATCTCTGAGCCTTTTTGCTAACCCCTTATTTCCCAGAAATCAAGTCTGTAAAGTTCTTCTTTATCTTCTGCATGGTGAAATTCACCCAGGCTAATTATTTTCTTTGAAAGTGAACACTCTTCCTTAGGCTTAATGAATATATAAATCATACACATTTTTACATAATAACTCGTTTATTACCAGCCTAGAGCTGCCAGTGTAATGAAAGGCTGATGTTTTAAATTCAGGCTTGTCCCATTTCTAGAAGATCACTGACCTTCTTCAGGGAGGCGATGGTGGTCTGATCATCCTGAGAAAGCTTCAGGGCAGTGGCGACCTTCGCGGAATTGACCACGATCTCCGCATTTAACTCTCTGCATTTTGCCATCAGACGTTTTTCGTTGTCGTAAGACTTCTTCATGACAGTATGAAGCTTCTCATATTCAATCCTAAACTTTTCCAGACTTTTGTCTCCTGAAAGTTCACTAAGAACCTGCTGAAAATCTCTTTCAATTTCTTCAAATGCCGTTTCTTCCAATACTAGTTTTTCGTTTTTTTCCTGTATAAAATAGCAAAAATATGAGGAATGGGTATTGTAACATTTGCACTATTGCTATCAAGGAATTATCAGTATTTTCCATGAAAAAAAGGGAAAAAAAAAAAAGCCACTGACAAGCAGAAAAATTGACTACATGGTGGGAAGAGTCTTTGTTCATCCACTGATGTATGCATATATATATACACATACACACACACATAAACACACACACATATATATGTATGTATGTATGCACATATTAATATGATATACACATATTATATATGCATTAGGATATGTGGGCAGTATATATATATACATTAAGATAATATTTCTGGGGTCAGCAGGTGGCCCAAAGGTTAAGGTAGCTGGATCCTGCCAACTGCACTGTTCAAGTCCCAGACCCAGTGACTTGAGAAACACCCTGGGCACATATGTATACATGCCCAGAATCCTGAAGGAAGGGAGAAAAAGGGGAGAAGGGATTGCAGCATGACTGTGCCCCATAGGGTGCTTTCTCACTTTCTTTGTCTCTCCCTCTCTCTGTCTCTCTCCAGCAAACACACACGTGCTCTGGCAAAAATTATTAAAAAATAAATAAATAAAGGTATGTTGAAGTCCGAACTCCAGCACCTGTGAATATGACCTTATTTGAAAGTAGTCATTGCATACTAATTCATTTTGATGAGGTTATACCAGAGAAGGGTGGATCCTAATCCACTATGACTGGCATCTTTACAGAAAGGAAATACCTGGGCACAGATAGACACACACACACACACACACACACACACAGAACTGGAAGGTGGAGGCAGAGGTTGGGCTGAGGCATCTGCAATCCAAGGAAAGTTAAGGACTGTCGGTCACTCCCAGAAGCTAGGAAGAGAAAAGGAAGGATTATACAACTTCTGGTTAGATACAGCACAGTGTATACTTAATAGATGTATTCATCCATTCAGAAAACATTTATTGCACACCTGCTATGTGTATGTTCAGGGATGGAGCCTGCAGGACATATCAAGGTAAAGGATAAACGGTCTACCCACAGGGCTTTAATAACTGGTAGGGTATGCAGCTAGATAATGGAAGTAGAGAATGTGGTCCCTTCCATAAAATAGATTCCAAGTTCTATAAGAATCCATAGGAAGAGAAAATTATTCCCAGAAGCAAGAATAAAGCAAATTTCATAAAAGAAGTGGCAATAGAGCGGGCCCAGAGGGAAAAGTCTAATTTTCACAGGTGGATATGGAGGGGGCAAAATGACATTCCTGGCATATTACAAAGCTTAAGCAAAAGCTCAGGGCCAAGCAGGATCCAAATTGGCTAAAATATAAGAGATGCGACAAGGAGAAGAAAAGAAAAGACTAGGTAGGAAGTTAGGAACTGAAGTGAAAGGCACTAAATGGCATTGTAAGGAATAGATTGTATTATTCTGTAACCACAGGAAGTCACTCAGGGCTTTCAGCAAGGAATGATAAGGTTTACAAGGCCTTATGTATGTTTGTAACATATGCTTTGATAGTCTACTCTAAAAAGGCCTTTGGCAACAACGCTCTTGTAAATCTAACCTACTGACACAATCTCTAATCCGAAAAATTAAGTAAAAGTCCAACTCACCCTGACAACTTGAAGTAAATAGTTTGGTTTACTTTCTGTTTTTGACAAGCCTATTTTGCCCAATATGGAGAAAGTCTACATATCTGTGGTATTCAAAAACACTTGTATTGGGGCCAGCAGATGGTGTGGTGGTTGAGGGTGCTGGACTCCCACATGGTTGACTGTAGTTCGAGTCCTGGACTTGGCGACTTGCGTTCTCACTTTCCTTCTCTCTCTTTCTCACTGTCCCTCTCTAGTCAAATTAAAGTAAATAAATAAATAAAGTTAAATAAAATAATTATTATATAAAAAACCACTTGTACTATTAATTAAATCTGCAAAGGTGGCACGCAAGCAAAACACAGTCTTTGAGGACTAAAATAGATGTAGAGTCACAAGTGTATCTATACTATTTTGTGTAATAACTTTAGTACTGATTTTAAACTTAACAGAGGTTTTGCTCTCTGACTAAAATTGTAAAGACCACAATGTAGCCTTTCCACTAAGGGAGAAGAAATCATATTAAGGAACCACAGTGCACAGGGACTGACAGTTAGCGTAATGGCTATGTCGCTGGACTCCCACGTAGTCAACCGCTGTTCAAGTCCCGGACCCGGTGGCTTAAACTCATGCCGGGTGCATGTGTGTGCGTGCCCAAGATCCCGAGAGGAGAATGGAGGAGAAGGGATTGCGGCGTGGCCATCCCCCCTGGGAGGTGATTTCTCGCTTTCTGTCTCTCTGTCTCTCTCTGTCTGTCTGGCAAGCACACGCGCCCTATAGCAAAAACCTCTCAAAAAAAAAGGAACCACAGTGCTGCTTCTGCCGCTCTGTGCTTCCCCCTTGAAGAGGCTAAAATATGAGCACACACAAAAATGTATAATGACAATGTTCTCGGTTCCATCCTAGGAAATGGTATTAATGTCAACACGATCTCTAGCCTAATGATTTGTTAGCAGACCAGGTTTTTCCTGTCCTCTTGGCACCTACCTCAGCAATGGAAAAAAATATATATCAAAGAAAGAAAAAGTTTAAAGAAACTTTTATGAACAAAAGCAATTGTTCATATGGTAGTCAAAATGATATGACTATTTTTTTAAAGAATTATTTTACTTGTTTATTTATGTACTTATTTATTTATTTGGCCAGAAAGGGACAGAGAGAGAGAGCAAGCCACCAGGTCTGGGACCCAAACCGTGGTCGGCCATGTGGGAGTCCAGTGCCCTTAACCACCATGCCACCTGCCGGCCCCGAAATGATACAATTATTAAGAGCAAAGCTGGCTCAAGCCATGGGACAGTCGATAGTGTACCAAGCTGTGGTGCTGGAAGCCACATGGCTGACCATAGTTCAGATTCCCAGCCTAGTCAACCTGAAATGTGCTGCGTGTGCATGTGTGCCCAAGATCCTAATGAGCTGGAGCTGGGGGAAGAGGTCTGTGGCGTCATGAGACTCTGCCATGGGTCCCTCTGTCTCTCTCATGTGTATGCCCTCTCTATCATAAATAAACTTTTAATAAATAATAAAAATAAATTAAGAAGCAAAGTAAAAATAATTTCTTCATTGCAACCAATGAACAGTAAATATCTACAATGCAATAGCATATCATGGCATCCAGCTCAGAAGCACGATATCAACATAAACTGATCTGAGAGGAATAACAATGTGCTTTCACTCACCACCTAGCCACTGTGTATTTGCTATGTGCTAGGCACATTCTAGGAGCTGAAAATACCAGTTAGTAGGGAAAAGGGAAGAAAAAAAAAAAAGGAGGGCTGTAGTATAACACGAGGCCAGAGTGGAAATAAAAAATTGTGAAATCAAAGGCGAGGAAAAGCTGTCTGCAGCCAAGTGAGGAGAAAAGCAGAAGAAAGGAGGAAATGAACAAGGATAGTGAAAGGAAGGAGAGAATGGGACAGAGTCCATTGTATCTGGGGCTTATATATTGGAAATCAAGAATGAAATAAAGCAAGGTGGCTAGTGGGGGAGAAAAAGAGGAAACACAAGCAAATAATGGGGAAAATACTAGAGAATAGAAGGAACAAGAGGGGAAATGGGAAGAAAAGAAATATGCATGAATATAGGTAAGGGGGAGAAGGGATGTAGCCATAGCAGCATAGACGTCAAAGAGGAGAGCGATGGAGCCCAACAGTTAGGAAGACAGAAGATATAAAAAGGATTGTATGATAAGGAAAGGGTGGAGTTTGGGACCACAGGAAGATGGAGTTTATTAAACTGATAAGAACAGACACCAGATGAAAGGCCAAGAAGCAATTGGAAGGTGGAGGTTCTAACGAGACTAAAGATGGAGGAGTTAGAGTGATGAGGGCATGAGAGGTGTAGGAGAGATGAGAAGCAACTGAAATAGAGGTGAGGACATGACTGTGCTCAGAGCTGCTGGGACCAGGGCTGGCTCCAGGGGTGTGAGGTCTGTTCAGCTGTGTAGGGTCTACTGCTCAGAAGGGCTCTGCCCTTGGTTTATGATTTGCTATCTCTTCTCAAGATTCTTAATAATATTTTAACAAGAGGCTTTGTGCTTTGTTTTGCATCAGGTCTGGCAAATAAATCATGTAGCTGATCCTGGCTGGGACTGATCAGGTGATGGGTGGAATGTAGAGGGCTCTGAGAGAGCAGAGATGATTTACGTAGGGTTGTGTTGGATTGGGGGACTGTGCATGCCAAATGATAGCAGGGACCCTGAGGTTGCTGAGGGGGCTAATGGACAGGCAGGGAGCCACTGAAAAGTTGCAGAAATGACTCCTCATCGCAGAGGCTGCAGATGTGGAGTACTATAATTTTGGGGAGTGAATGGAAGCTACCAGATGTTAAGGCAGGGCGGTGGTGATGGGCTCAAGGGCCTCAATAAAGATATGTGACAGCAGGTGATCTGATGATAGGAAATCAGGGTGTGACAGGTGGACAAGTCAGTGCATATGAGTGGCAATGGGTTTCTATGAAGCAGATGAGGCAGTCCAATCTTCCTGTGCGAACTTCTCTCACGGTATCACCTCATGGCTCAAAATCTAGGAGGGGATGCATGTCAAGTGTGGATCTGGGAACTCATTAATTTCCTACCTCATTTAGCACAGAGCCAATTTAATACTGGGGGGCAGGCTGTGTCCACCCAATTGAAGGAGGAACAGAGGTAACAGGGATAGGTCCCACGGAGAAAAGCCAGGGGAGGAGGAATTGAGATGTTGATGGGGAAACATTGCAATCCACTGCGTGTGACAGTCGACAGTAGGAGAACAATGGGCAGGGGTGGAGCAAGAGGCGACAGAGAGGGGTGCTGACTCCTGACCTCCGCCATCCTGACGCTTTCTGGGGGCGGCCTCAGAGACTGCTGCGGAGATCTCAGAAACTGGGCCGGAGTCTGGGAAAGGGATGGTGCTCTCCCCGCAGCGTCTAAAGCTGCGTTAGTTTTTCCCTATCGCCCACCCTGGGCCGACACCCGGCGCTCGGCGCGTCCTCCCGTCGCCTGGCAACCGCCACGCTCTCTAGGGGCGCTAGCGGACGTTCGAAAGGGGAGGAGCCTCTCAAGCCGACGCTGGGCGTGTTTCCCAGAGAATATGCAAATAAATCCTGAACGGGCGGGACCAAGAAAAAGAGGGGCGGGGCCTTTGAGGAGAGGGGTGTAACCCCAAGGTCTGCGCAGAAATTAGAGACTCCGAATAGAAAACTGAGGGCAGTGGGAAGAGGCAGCCCCGGAAAAGGGAGGTGAGGACTCGGGGCAGCCAGTAATGCCGAGCGGGGACCAAAGCTTGAAAGAAATGTGCGCTGTGTGTGTAAGACGCGGAGGAGAAGCTAAGGGAGAGAAAACACACTCAGCCCACAAAGGGCCTAGTCACTACTGCTACAAAGAATAGGTACAGAGTGTGAGGAAGCCTGGGAAAACGTGCGGACCCACACCCCGAACTTTCCCTTCCATCTGAGACTCCTCTTTCCTTCCCTCCCCTCTGCCTCCACCCTCTTTGGACTTCAGGTACATCCGGATCTGGTCATTAAACTCCTCGGTTTGGGAAATGTGCAAGGGTGTCCTCTGTTTTAGTTTGGGTTTTGTTTTCTTCTCCATTTACTGCCATCTCTATTCCCAGCCCTCAGCCTCAGCCTCCCAGGCATTCGTGCTACTGTGTGTGGACATGTATTTTTTTTTTAATGTGTAGCATTTTTATTAGTGTATTTTTTTAAAATTTTAATAATGGTATTGGACTTCAGAGATTATCTCATTTTCTACTTTTTTTCCCCCCACTCAATGTTCTATGTAAGAATTCGTCTTTGCTGTAGTCCTGGGACAATCCCAGTTCTTTGCTTCTGATTGCTGCTCAGACTTCATATGGGACAGGGGCCACATTGTACTTCCATCTCCCAGTGTCACATAACATGGTGGTCTTTGTCTCCCCACCACCACAAACATCACAGCTGTGACCATCCTTGTCTGTAGTCTCTATGAGCACATTGCTCTGAAACATTTGGCCAGGAATGAAATGGTTAAAGTCACAGATGTGTGGGGCATTGGGTTTTTGCACCTGTGTCCTGCGCAAACCCATCTGGCTAAGGAGCTAGTGAGGGCAGAAAACAGTCTCTATGCTCTTTTCCCCTGCTGTGTGCCCTACTAGAGCAAGATGCATGGGTTTTTCCCAAAAAAAAAAGCTCTGTTCCCTACCCAACGCATGAACCTAGAAGGCTCTTTATCAAACTTATTTCCTGGGCCAGCTGGTGGCATGGTGGTAAACACAACCAGATCCCACACAGCTAACTATGCAGTTCGAGTCCTGGATCTGGTGGCTTGAAATATATGCTGGGTGCATGTATGAGTGTGCCCAAAATGCTGAGAGAAGAGTGGAGAAGGGATTGTGGTGTGGTCATTCCCCCGCCAGGGGTGCTTTCTCACTTTACCTCTCTCTCCTCCCATGAGCACCCCTGCCCTATAACAAAATAGATGTTTTAATATTTTATTTAAATGTATGTATTTTAATTTGACCACCAAGGGACAGAGCAAGAGGGAGAGAGCAAGAGGGAAAGTGAGAAATCAAGCCTCCAGGTCCAGGACTCGAACTGCAGTCAGCTATATGGGAGTCCAGCACTCTTAATCACTATGCCCCCTGCTGGCCCCAACAAAATATATTTTTTTAAGTAAAGAAGAAACAAATCCATCTGCCCAGAGGTGGTCACTGTTTCCCAATGCCACAAAGATGCCTGAAGCTTGACTTCACCAAGCTATACTAGGTCATGGACCAGTATTATTGGCCTACACAACATTCCAGTGTGTTGGACAGAGTTCTGTGTCAGACTTCAGTCCTTGCTGACATGTGCTGGTTTACTTATTCATAAACAGTCACGTAATGTTTACTAAGTGCTAGGTACTCTTCTAAGTGCTTTGCAAACACTGACTCATCTAATTAGCTAATCTTCCAATTTCTGTCAATATGATGGAAGTAGGATCAGCATGTTTTTGTTTTCATTTTCATTTTTACTCCCCTAGCTACTAGTGAAAGTGAGTATTTCTTTAGACTTTCATAGACCCCCTGGAGTTATCTTCTGTCAATTGCCTATGCATAGTCTTTGACTATTTTTTATTGACCTTTTCCTTTTTGATTTGCAAAACATCATTGTAAAGAATGAACATTAATTTCCTCTCAGAAACTGGAAACTTGGACTTTATGGAACAGTAATCCTTAATACTGTAGCCCTTTGTCTTTTTTTTTTTTTTTTGTCTTTTTTAAACGACATTTTTTAAAATCACCGTTTTAAAGAATTATTTATTGGGACCAGTAGTTAGTGTAATGGCTATGTCGCTGGATTCCCATGTAGTTGACTGCAGTTCGCGTCCCGGACCCGGTGGCTTGAAACTCACGCCGGGCGCGTGTGCATGTGTACCCAAGATCCCAAGAGGAGAATGGAGGAGAAGGGATTGCCGCGTGGCCATCCCCCCTGGGGCTGATTTCTCGCTTTCTGTCTCTCTGTCTCTCTGTCTGTCTGGACAGCGCATACGCCCTATGGCAAAAACCTCTCAAGAAAAAAAAAATTATTTATTTGATTTTATTTATCATTATTTTTATTTTTTAAAATTTGACCAGAGAGAAAGAGAGAGAAGGTGAGAAAGCAAACTGCCAGGTCCAAGACTCAAACCATGGTCGACCATGTGGGAGTCCAACACCTTAACCACCATGCCACCTGCCAGCCCCCGAATATCACTTTTCAGTATTTTTTTAGAATGATTTCATACTAAAAAGTCATACCTCAACCTCAAGATCATAAAGGTATTTTCCATCATTTTCTTTCATTAGCTTCATAGTTTTACTTTTTCACATTCAATTCTCTAATCCATCCAGAGTTCACCTTTGTGAGCAGAAATCTGAATATATCTTTCTTCATGGAGTGAGCAAATTTTTCAACATTCTATTTAAATGATCCATTCTTTCCCACTTGGTTTTAGAAAGTTCCCAAACGCATATGAATAAGCTCTGAGCTCTCTGGCTTGTTTCCGAGCTGCAAGATTTCATTACTGTGGTTATTATTGTCAGTCCGCTATGGGTGAAGGGCAAGTCTCCCATTCCTACTTCTTCCAGTTGCTTTGGCTGGGCCCGTCCTTGATGTGGTGAGGGCGGCTGGATTCTACATGGTCCACCTCATGGTTCAAGTGTTGGATGCAGCAGCTTGAGAACATACTGGGCATGTATGCGTGTGTACCCAAAATCCTAAAAGGAGAGAGAAATGGAGGAGAAGGGATTGTGGTGTGGCCATTCCCCATGATGTGTTCTTTCTCTCTCTCTCTGTCTCTCTGCAGTGAGTGTATGAGCCCTCTGGCATTTTTGTTTTCAAGTTGCTTTGGCTATTCATGGACTTTTACCATCCCATATCATTTTTAGACTATATTTGTCCAATTTCTCACAAGAAATTTTCATTGGCACTGCTTTAGAATGATAAACTAATTTAGGAAAAATTGGTATCTTAGGTGGCACAGTCATTAGCATGCTGGACTGCAGTGCTGGAAGCCACATGGCCATTGCCAGTTCAGACCCCCAGACCAGTCAGCCTGAAATATGCTTGGTGTGCTCAAGATTCTGAGGAGCTGGAAGACTGGAGTGGGGGGGACCAGCAGGTGGCATGGTGGTTAAGTTGTTGGATTCCCACATGGCTAACCACAGTTTGAATCCCAGACCTGGCAGCTTGAAAATCATAACAAATAAACAGACAAATAATTTTTTTAATTACCTCTGTACAATGACATCTCATTCATGATTTGACACTGCATATCTGGTGAACCAACAGAAACCATATGACTGAGTCATGGAGGCAGCTGTAGCTGGAGAGGTGGCAGGTGAACTAGAGAAGCAGGCTGAACCAAATGGCAAGCCGAGTTAATAGACGTGAGGTGGAGCTGGGGCAGGCAACACAGCTCAGGCAGCTTTGAATGTTTACAGGAAATCTGATTATGCGTTGGGACCGTCAGCTTGTGGGTCCATCATGATCCAGGGAGGTTCCCTAACATTCTCGAAGCTACATAAGAGCAGAGAAAGACCTTGAGGGTCCTTGCCTCCTATCTCCTGCACTGGGCTCAAGTAAGGGGCTTGTGTCTTCCCATTTCCTGGGACTGTCCCGAAGGACCATCTCTCAAGCAGATGGCTGGCCAATGTGACAACAGTTTTATCCAGAAACTCATTTGTAAAGCACTACCTGCCAGGCACCAGAGTGACCACAGGAACCACCAAGGCGACTAAGGCAGAGTCACTACCCTTTGCATTTGCAACCTGGCACTGGGAGAAAGGCAGAAAGGAACATCTAACACAATATGATGGCATCTTTTAGGATATGCCATGCTGACAGAAGGCATATGGAAGACCAGGGAATCTGGACACTGATGCCTGAGAACATTGTTTACAGTATGGGAACAGAAAGACCCAAACACTGGCAATGAGGGCCCAAGAGGCAGAAAGGCAAGTGACTCAACTCATAGGAAAGAGATGCTGTTGACCACCAGCATGGATGGAAGAATGGATGAATGATTAGGCAGGTCAATTTACGCTAATAAAGTGAAGCACTTGATTTCTCTTTTATTAAGAATTATTTTCTTAGGACCAGCAGTTGGTGTAATGGCTGTGTTGCTGGATTCCCATGTAGCTTACCACGGTTCAAGTCCTGGACCTGGTGGCTTAAACTCATGCCAGGCATGTGTGCATGCATGCCCAAGATCCCAGGAAGAGAATGGAGGAGAAGGGATTGTAGTGTGACCATCCCCCCTGGGGGGTGATTTCTCACTTTCTCTCTGTCTCTCTCTGTCTTTCTGGTGAGCACATGCACCCTATATCAAAAACTTCTCAAAAAAAAAAAAAAAAAAAAGAAGAAGAATTATTTTACTATTTTACTTAACTTAATTTATTTATTTATTTTAAAGAATTATTCATTTAATTAATTTATTTTTTAATTTGCTGTAGGGCACGTGTGCTCACCAGAGAGAGACAGAGAGAGTG